ACATTTAAAACAGTATTAACTGAACTGAAATACGAAAACAACAAATCAAACCAACATCTTTCCTTAAATTATATATATTTCTTCAATTCCTCCGATGCTTTATCCTCTACTTCGTGATTTTCAGACTATACTGGGCTTTAAGGCATGGGCGCAAAGCGCTAAATCATCCCTTTGTAGGACCTTTCATTTGAAATTTTGAAATTGTTGATAGATCCATAAAACAACTGGTCTCAGTTGTATGTTATCCCACCCACCAAACGTTTCAGTTGAATCATCATTGTCTTCCTATATCATGATTGTCAATAGCTAGTATTCCTGATTCATTAGTTCATTTGGATTCATAAATTCCGAGTATGAAATTCTGAAAAACGTTGCTTATATGAAGAATTTGATTAATACAGGTATTGTGCTAAAAAAATAAATAAATGCGCTAATTAGAATACCACTATGAGACAATTTCATGAAAGAGGATAACAGAGCTTTCTTATTATTAGTTATTTACTAATTCATATATTTTGAGAAATATGACGAAGAACTCATACTCGAGTCAGCTTTAGAAACTGTTTACAGCGGCCAAAATTATATTATCAACTCAGTTGATGAATCAAATTTCCTCGTATCTCCATATATTACCTGCTGTTAGACTCACACAATCAATCCATCATGAAATTATCTAAAGGGAGTTCAGTAACATAACATTGTAGCTCCTTGGTCCCGGCGTCCTTGGCTGTTCATAGGAAGGAAACGAACCGGGCTGAACTTGAGAGACGCCTTTCACATTCTGTGTTTTGTTTAGTAATGTACTTCCACAAATTACAAAGAATTCGCCCACCGCAAAAATTCAATTCATGCCTACCACATATGAGGATTCCGCTCGACTTCTCCACCGAAAAATTTGTATTTATGTATAAGGATAAGGAACCCTCAACCAACAAAAGCAACATGTGGAACTATCATGCTCACATTTAGAACAGAGGAAAATGTAAATTTATGTATCATCGAAAACATGATATCACCACTCAGGGCCAGTGGCGAGGACCACTTGCGAAAAGAACGGGAAAAAAATAGATACATTAGAGACTCATTTCAAGCGGTGGCTATAGCGCTCTAAATGGATCTAATAATTGTTAACTGGCTAAAAAAACAAACACTCCCTGTGGTCAGTGATTAATAGGGAAATGAAAATGAATACTTACAATCGCCATCTACTGGAGCTAAACTATGTTATTATTATTATTGTTAGTAGTAGTAGTATTATTGTCATCAAAAAAAATCATATAAACTGTTTTTCGCCCTGTTATTGCTCAACGCATGTCATTCTAATGAATAGTTATGTCAATTCGAACGAAAATTTTCTTAAAATGCTAATTTTTTACTTTATGTATTTGTTTTACTTAAGTTTTAAACAGGTGCCAAAACCCTTTTTATGATTAGATTGCAGCAGAAAGAAATGGATTTAATAATTAGCATGAGAGTCAAATTTCTACATAATATAACAACCAACAGCTAGCTCAAGCACAAAATAACGAACAGCGTTCGGTTTTGAGATAAGGTGAAATAATCACGAGAAAATAATTTCATCCAGTCTCTAAAAAACACTGTGAAAGGAAACTTTGCTCGAATCTGGAGTATAATTATACAAATTGGAAAAATAGTATATATTCTTCGAACGGTGATACTGACACAAACGTAGTTCCCAAATCGAGGCATGATATCAAAAACCTGTCAAATATGGGCGACTGCGCTGCTACTGACAAGTATGCTGAGTGAGTATCCATGCTCCTTTTAAGACATTAACTTCTGCAAAGTAGCATGGTGATAAGGGGAGGCAGTGTTTTAGAATAGTTTGCCATGTATTAGAACTGTACAGACCAGCTTCCTGTAGCAAAACAAGACAATTATTTTAAGGAAGAGTTCCTCGGGGAACCAGAGCACTACACCATTATTAAGGCACAGGCTTAAATTCCAATTTAACATAGGGTCCATCGTGTTGATGTGAATGGCTCTTTTGCATGATTCGATGGTAAAGTTTACGCCTGATATTTCAATTTATAGATATAGGGAATCTGGAATAACTAACTGGATGGTTTGCAAAAAGTTCTCCTTTCACTTTGCAATGGCGAAACTTACTAGATTAGACTTTTGCAAGGGCCATGGCCACTTATATGTGCAAAGAGCGCTGAAAATGGTATTTGTGCCAATTTTGCTTAAGTCGCCTTAAATCGCCGCAAATCACCCAAAGTCGCCTAAAGTTGCCGCGACTTAAGGTCTCAGAGTAGGCCTAGCCTTGAAAATGGCATTTATTTCTGTGCATGGTGACAATGCGTCATATCCGACTGTCACAAAGGGCCACCTGTCGAAAGTAGATAAGTCAATACCAGAAAACTAAAAATGTTAAAACCATTTTTTAAAGCTTGTTCTAATAAAAGAGTAAAACGGACTGTTTGATGCTGAAGAAATCGTTCTTTGTAATCTATTAATTTTTTTCGCCAATTTGAAAAAGTCAATCAGCTCCGTTTTTATAAAATACTTGTGAATGAAACAGGTGAATGTTGACATGTACTAATAACTTGTGCGATTTGCTGTAGCGGCACTGTCAATAAGTACTCGGTGCCCGATGTATTCGAGAGTTGCATATCACATTGGATTTATTTAAAGAATTTTCATTCTTGTGAAACTTTTCTTCTTTCTATTATCATCATTCAGGTTTTGGGTTTGTAGATGATGTTTGCAACGGCAAGAACGACCCGTGTACGCTGAAAAGTAATAAGCAAAACACTGCCTGTGAGCAGAATTGCAACGTTGGTAATTACACATGTAAACTTGACTGTAGAGTAGATCATTGTGATCAAAAATGCAATTCTCGAATATGTTTTCTAAATTGCACCAAGAGAGAGTGTAAGCAGTCTTGCAGTCGTAGAGTGCGAATATGTCAAATGGAATGCACCGGTCAAACCTGTAATCAAGCGTGCAACGCTCGTAAATGTATCTTAAAGAGAAGTCACTCATTAACTTCGGGTTACGGTGATCAAGCATGCAACGGGGGAGTGCAAACATGTAATCTGAAATGCAGCGGGGAAGAATGCAATCAGAATTGCAACGGTGGAGCACAACGATGTATTATGCAATGTATGGGGAGCTCTTGTACACAAACTTAAGACGCTCATACATGTGATATGATAAGAAATGGGTCATCAGATTATTATACAAAGCAAATATGCAAATCCGGACATGGTCCATGTTGTCAACGTATTTTGATGAATGAAAGTCTGGGATCCTTTGAAACAACCTGTCAAGGAAGAGAGCAATGTACCTGCCCCGAATGTTTAAATCGCGACTGCATGACTTTAAACAAATCGGATGTCACCGCAGCTGTCTTGGCTTCGACGGTTCAAGCTATTTCGACCCATATTTCAACAGTACAAGGTAAGTAAAAAAATAATTCAATTTATTTTCTATGAATTATCATCAAAGACCCATGCATGACATATTACTGTCTTGATTGCCGTTAACCTAAATTCCTTGTGCGTCATTACCATTAATATACGTGGTGATGATTTTTTTTTATACAATGTTTCCATACAGGCAACAAAGTATTTTGGATTTGATTGTTCACGATTCCGTACATTATCAAAGGGCTTTACTCACGACCCGTTCATAATTTCACCAGTATTTCTATCACAGAAGGCCATGATACGTGATGCATGGTTCTGCTGTTTTTCAATTCTTACGAGAGTCCCTTTGAGCCACATCCCCATACATGCACCTTACTACAGTTGTCGAAACGAAGCCGAACTAATGATTCGTGAAAAGTCAAAAGAATGTCTCGAGGAACAAAATCTCTTGTGCATCTAATGGCAATTTTATAGGAGGAAATATTTCTTGAAATTTCTTTGATATGAAATTGCCAACGTAGATTTTCATCATAATATATACCGAGATATTTCGTTGTGGAGATTCCTTTAACAGGGATTTTGTTTACTTCTACCTCGAGACTTTCGGGTAAATAAGACAATCTTTGTTTAAACCCATTTAATAGAAATTCTGCTTTCTTCAAATTCAACTTAAGGTTACTGGCTGCAAGCAAGGATGGAATTTTATATCTAAGTGAATTGATGCATTAGTTTCATTCTTGTAAATGATTATTTGCAAAAGTAATGCTGGTATCATTAGCTTACATTCTTGGTTGTGGCCTAAAATGGTCCTCTGTCTAACACTACAATCAGATAAACAGTCTGCAGATGCAATCATTTGACGCATTTTGCTGTCTTAGTTGACTTCAGAGGCGACGCGGAGGTATTTTTTTTCTTTTTAAGGTACTTTACTTTCAATAAATAAGTGTCAGGCTCCGCGAAAAACTCTATTGTCCATTTTCACTTTTGCCACAGCTCTCCAAGAAGGACGTTACTATTTTAGAGATAATCACATATGTCGGATTAAGCCTTTCCATCGTCGGAATACTTTTGACCATAACGCTGTATTCTTTTCTCACGTAAGTATACTGCTTCCAAACAATCAGTGTTGCGCTTTCTTGCATGACTTTCACGATGTAAAAATCAGGCCAGTACGTGCATAAATAGATTAGATCACTCTAAGCGACTGAAGTAAAACGCAACCGTGCTAATTTTCAGAATCAAATGCGCGCAACAGATGTTGAGCACAGCACTATCACAGAGTGTTCAGATTCATCTTCCTTCAGTCTCTCGAAACAACCAGGGAACGTTTTCGAAATAGCTTTGGTATTAAGTTTCTATTGATTTTCTTCCTCTGCTTGACTCATGCTTTCAATTCTTATTATTGCTCTTCACTTGTGTTTCTATTGGTTCCTCGAGCTTGCTCCCTGGCGTTGTTTTGCTTCTGTTTATGCACTGTACATAAACATGATATTCACTTTTACTAGAGATGTTCGACAACCACTACCTCAAATATGACTTAGTCTTTGTGTGTCCCTCGGAGCTGGACAAATCATCTTTCTCTCTGGAATAAACGCCACAGAAAAAATGGTGAGTGGCTATATATTATTGGTGGAATTCCTTCAAAGACGTCATTCTTGAACGAAACGTGAAACCAAGAAAAAATGAATTTTCTGGTCTTTCCTCTCCTTTCTTTTGCAGACAGCGTGTATTACATCAGCAGTTCTTATGCAGTATTTCCTGATGGCCGCTTTCTGTTGGATGCCGGGAGAGGGAATTTATCTTTACCTTCTTGTTGTGAAAGTTTATAACATCAGCGACAAGATGTATATTTATCACGTCATGTCATGGGGTATGTTAGTTGTACAATTGTATTTATTATGCAGTTGAGAATTATTTTGTTAACGAACTGTATCATTTGGATCGCTATATGATTCTAATTTGTGATAGGTTTGCCCGTCATCGTGGTGGCCATTTCATTAAGCATAGCAGCTGGAGCAGCAGATGGGATACAGAGCTACATCAGTGATGACTAGTGAGATGGAATTTTAAAGTTTCTTTTTCTCCCCTCGACCCTTTTGTATACTTTTTTTTGTTGAGATTTTGACTTGATTTCATCTTTTCTTTCCCCTCTTCATTATCATAGTGAGTCTGCCCTCTATTTTCTTTGATTTTCATAACCTTTTATCCTTTTAGGCCAGCTTCTGACATATATATTTTTTGTTATAGAACTGTTGCTGTTCATCGTTGTTTTACAATAAACGTTTTATAAGTGAACGTTTAATAGTTTGTCGCACGATGTACGAGTCAAGCTACTCAATCGTGTATCGATCGCGAAATCGAGATCAATAGACGATTTATCAACTTGACTCTTACATTGTGAGAAAAACTATTAAATGTTTATTTACGTATGGTTATTTTCATAGTATGGATGTTACTCTCTGTCTTCCCTGTCAGGAAGATTGGGAAACTGAAATCCACCAGTATTTAAAATTTTTTGCGCTCTTTTTTGATGTTTTTTTTCCTTTTCCTTCTTAGTTGTTGGATGTCCTCAACTAACAATCTGATCTGGATATTCGTCACATTTTTGGTTATCGTTGAAGTTGTAAGTTTCAGATTTGAACCAATATTTTTTCTTTTGACGTTGTCATTTGCGATTCTGGTTTGAGACATAATATATGTAACAGCCCTACCTCAATAGAACAGTGTTTTCATCTCTCCTCTTTCAGATCAACATTTTGATTCTCACTCGAGTCATAAGGGAGATGACCAAAATGCAGCCAAGAGGAGGAAAGTAAATTCAGCAAATACGGTATGAACGATTTCAAAATTACGATTAAAAGACGGAGAGTTTGTGCCGAATATCAGATCAAAATATTATCAAATTCCTACATTTGAGACCTGGTAATATTGATACATTTTTCAATTTTTTAATGATATTTGCTTAACCTTATGGAGAATTCTGATTACCAGAAAATATCCTTGAAGAAAAGATACAAATTAATAAATCCCCATATCTCAAATTATCATCCTCCTTCAGACTTGGCATTAGAACATGCGTCGTGATGACTCCCTTGCTGGGTGTCACGTGGTTATTTGGACTCCTTTCGCCTGCACACAAAACTTTCGCCTACATTTTCACCGTACTCAACTCCACTCAGGTGAGTTTTAGTCCTACTTTTTTTATCCATTTAAAAACATTTTTGCTATGGTCAGATGACATCTACTACGGTAACTACAAAATAAGACATACGATGATGAAGCTAAGAAAAAAGAAAGAAAAAAGAGAAATATACTTTCTACTGCTTTTTTGTCATTCTCGTAACTTAAGAGGTTATATGGTGTGATTGATTAAACTTAATTCACTATACTCTAAGATATTAAAACAAAAACTAAAAAGAAAACAAACAAAGAAAACAAAACCTCTCTTTTATCTAACCTGAATTGCATACTGTAAAAAAAAATGACCCTGAAAACGAGTTCCTTTGTTTTTTAAGGGTTTCCTGATTTTCATTCTTCACTGTGTGCGAAATGGTCAGGTAAGTTTAATTTTAAAAGAATAAATATGGTGTAGATAACGAGGTTTTAAAAATTTACTATACAAGTGTAAAAGGATACATTGGTATGCCTTCTTTTCCTTAGATTAGAGTAAGAAAAAGAAAGCTTTCAAATTACTTGTTTATCTGCAGATTAAAGAGTGATTCAATAGAAAGATGAATATGATATTTCCATCCGAAAACATTGGAAACTCCACAAAGAAGAGCTCACAGGTTAATTCAAAAGATATTAATAATATTTGGAAAGTTGAATTGTAGTCTTGCAATGAGTTTGAGTAGAATTAATCAAGTTAAATAACTAGATTTAACAGAACGAGAATGTAAATTAGTTGTTTAGTGTGTGATAGTTGGTCTGTACTGGTTCTTCAGTTTCGATTTTTCGCTTAAGTTAAGTAGTTCCGATCGCATCGTTGGCTTAATGGATGAGTCTAAAGTATGTACAGTCAGTAGCATCTACGCATTTACGTTTTTTAAAGATCTAAGGTAGATCTATGCGCTGTATTAGAGTTTTTTTTCTTTAAAATTATGTAATGCTGAGACTTTCGTACGTATTAGGGAACGTATTTATGAGCTGTAAGAGAAATTGTTTTGAAGAATAGGGTTCATTCATTGTAAGTACCTTTTTTGTACTTTATTCATTGTAGGCTTGTACTTTATTCATTGTAAGCAGTCTGTCCCTGACATATGGTTGCTTTTTTTTGTTCTGTTAATGATTGCGCTTTGAAGGTTGCAAAGATCTTGTCAAGATGCTACGGTATTTCATAATTTTATAAAATTAAATTTGTCTGAAAAAAGTTGCACGCTTAACACTGATAGCATTTCATTGTCTTTTCTTTGATTTCTCGTGCACAATTTCTTGCTGACATTTACTGATGACGTCATATTTTACTATTTTTTGAGCAGTTATAAGAAAGCATTTAAATAGCAATCTCGGTCATGCTTGTGCAATAGTAGTGTTTTCTACTGGCTTTTAAAGGTTATAATAAATAAATGGAAAATAAATAAGTGAATAACTAATTAAATGACTAAAAACAAATGAATGAATGAATGAATGAATAAGATATTCAACGGATCAGTTGCTTTTGTTGAAACGTATCTTCCTCGCGTAACGAGACAGTACGCTCTAAAATAACAATACCGTTTCGATCATGCTCTTTGGTTTAAAATGTCCCTCAGGAGGAGTCGCTCGGCTGAGTTTATCCTTATGAAGAGGAACGCTGTAAACGCCCTGTCTTTATAACAGCTTGACGGCTTAGGATTACAGAAACTGATATTTTAGAGGGAAGGGGTTTAAAATATATCCATCCCCACCCTCCCGCCTCAAAGTGTTTATATGAGGCCATAGAAAGAGATCAAAAGTCTCGTATCGCGAATGTTTGATGTAGCTCTGATATGTCGCCAATTTAAGACTATTTCCGCATTTCCAATGACCTCTTTCCTTAACCCTCCCCCCCTCATAAAAGACCAACTACGCCCCTCTATCTTGTAAACAGACGAGATATCGGAGCTCTCTCACGATATCTAAAGGATATACCGCTCCATTTTTTCAAAATCAAAACACCTGTTTCAGAGTACCTTAGGTTTTTAAAAAATTTTCAGAAAGTGTTCGGGAAAAAAAGAAAGGACACATAAAATTATAATAATGACGGTACAGTTGGAACATTTTTGGAAGAGCAAAGGCTCCCATCGTAACATCGAAAAGTTCCGTCAATTTTTCCTGTGGCTGATCTTATACGAGTAACATTTCTAGAAATTATTACAGAAGATTTGGAAAGACAGGTTTGTAGGTATAAACACGATTAAATGTTTCGAGGAGCGCTAAATTGTCTTACAATATTTTGCCGAGTTTTATGATGGCTGAAAAGTATCTTTAAGAGATCTTTTTTTAGTGGCATTGCAAATAACATTAATGCGGTATCGCATCTGATGACAAAAGCCTAAGTGATATCCATAAGTGCATCAGGGATTTGGCAACACGTTTAAATAAAGATGGATCCTCCTATTGTGTTTCTAACCAGAGTTACATGGGGGACGGAAGGACCAGTTACATACCTATTTTTCCTACATGTGAGTTGATCTTTTATCACTTAGGACACAAATGTGTGGAAAATATTCATGGGAGAGGTATTATAAAAAATCAAGATCTCTTCCAGCCCTGCGTCTCCACTGTTCTCTTCCAATTCGGTCATCTTCATTCATTTTTTTCAGATGCTAATGAAGAAAAACTACTAAAATATAGCATTAGAGTGCTTTTCTATTGAATGCCGTAAAACCCCAACCAACGTAAATACAACAGCCAATCACAAGATAGGAAAAATACCAATAAGAACCCAAACTAAAAACAATTAAACTTCGAAAGAAAGCAAGAGAAAGCGAGAGAAAACGCGGCCGACCAAGATGTGATTGGTTTTACTTTTGCATCTGATCAGTTGAGACACCTTTCTGGACCATTCTCAGAGAAAAGTAAAGTAAAACAAATGGAATCCCGGATTGCTTTTGACACTCAATTGATGGATTCTCTTAAAAGTAAAGGTAGCTTCTATTCCAATCCATTTACATTTGTTAATTAATGCAAGTACAATGTCGAAACCACTCAGATGTGACGAGCAAAACCGTGGAAAACCACGCACGTCACAGGAACCAAATATTGCGAAATTTACTTTGAACCTGGCTGGATTAGTTTGTTAGGAAATGCGCGAACAAGGGATGCCGACCAAATTTCAACCCATAAACACAGTTAACAGAAGAGTTTGCTTCCGATATACTAGTTTGTGTTACGGTACTCGAGATTGCTAATGAAACGATTTTTAATGACTAGTTACTGATGATCACCGCGTTAAAGAACAATGTTACTGATTTTCAGCCAAGAAAAACTTTCTGAAAAGCATCGCAAGCTCTCCCCGTCATGTCGGAGTCATAATTAATGCCAGTAAGAGAATATAAAAAAATTAGGAGAAAACAAGGATGCTGAAGTTTATATTGTGAGCATCCTAACCATCTACAATCTTTTGTTTTCGTGTTCACATACTGTGACTGATTCATTTCGGATAAGACTGCTATTTATCAGTTTAAGCAATATAACAGAAATACTATTAAACATTGTGCAATTGTCTTGAAAAAAAAAAGCACATGACCAAGTAATCTGGAGAACTTTATAATCAATTTACTTTATCAGCTACAGTAAAGATAGACTAAGAAACGTTAAAAAATCTTAAGCTGCGTCTACAAGAAAAGTGTCAACAAATCGACATATTTAAGGAGCCCGAGACTAATTAACTACCTCAGCCTCCATGCGAAGACTCGAAATTTCACTTTCACAAAACTTGTGAATAAGTAGATGATGGATGCTAATACAACATCATAATGAGAACGATGTTTTAATTCAAGCAATTTTTTCCCCAGTTTAAAGCAAAATGAAATGAATAATTGATTCCTTTAATCAAGAAAAGGAAAATAACAAGTCAATTAGCAGGAAACGAACAGTGAGAGAGAGAACTCATAGCTGCCGGCCAGATGTCTTCTGAAGATATTTTTAAACAGCTTTTCCGCTAAAAATGTTAATTCATTTTACTTCAGGTCCAAAATCAGTGGTCTTCATAACAGGAAGATAAAGGGAAAGTAAAGGAGAAATATCAGGGAAAAATTAAATCGCAGAATTTTCAATAACATATCGATCGCTCACTTAAGGATGGTTCTGACTCGTCGCTTTCCAGTTCTGCTAATGCTGTGCCAAATGTTCTCCGGACTAATTGCAAAGCAGTGCAGTCATCAAGTTTCCGTGTATGGAATGATGCTTCAACGACACATCTTCAAGGAAGTTGAGACCTCTACCACATTTGAGTGTCTTACGGCCTGTAACGACGAGGAAAGATGTCAAAGCTTCAACTACGTCGTTTCCAAGAACATCTGTGAGATGAATAACCGCACTAAGGAAGCCAGACCTGAAGACTTCGTCCCTGACTCTGATCGGTATTATTATGGAAGAGTTAGAAACAGAGGTTTGTTATTAGTAAGAAAAAGAGAGAAAGTGAAACACTTCGAGAGAGAGATGCTGACCTTTCTGCTGTCGCTGAAAGCAAGCTTTGGACAATATTTTTTACTGTTATTTGTATCCTCGAACAGAAAGTTGATCTCGACCCTAAAAGTTATATTTTAAGTATGTTTTGTTCAACTGGAATGTTTTATTCGTTATCATTATCTAGATATTTAAAAATTTCTTATGCATTTATATATTTATCTGTTTCTCTATTTGTTTGTATTTTCTGATCAAAATCCTCTACTTTTTTCTTCGTTTAAGTTCTGTGAATCATCCAAAACGGTTAGTTTCTTCTTTCAGAAACGTTACTGTAATCATCTTTTTATCATTTTTCAGTTCCACTGGGATCCATTCCGGAGCTTCCCGCTGAATCGTGTAAAGAAATTAAAGCCAGTGAAGGAGAACAAGCGGTCAGCGGCAACTACTGGTTTAAATTTGATCTACTTAATTATGCTGTTTTGGTTCACTGCGACATGAAAACGGAAGGTAAAGCATAAACTTGCAAAGTAAAATCTAAATCAATCATCATTCATTCTTTAATTCACTGATAAATGCAACCATTTATTTTCCTCACTCACTCGTTCAATTTCTCTCTGAATGAATGCAGGTAATGTTCAGTTTTGTTCTTTTCTTTAAAATAATAACAATAACAATAATAATAATAATAATAAGATGGTTATGGGATTTAGTAGTGGAAGTAGCCCCTCTTTGAAAAGTTGGTTTTTGTGGAGGGAGGAAAACCAGAGGACCCGGAGAACAAATTTGCGTAGCAAGGACGAAAACCAACAACGAACTCAACCCACACGTGACACCAGGTCTGGAGAACAAACCTGGGCCACAATGTTGGGAGTCGAGCACTCTCAGCACTGCGCCATCCCGGCTCCTCCAGAAAGAAATAGAATTTTGAATTAATTGTTTACGTTACAACTGCTATTACATTTGTGCTACAGATATTGACGAGTGCACTCATGGAATTCATGAGTGTCTCAACGAATCGGCAAACTGTTTAAATACGGTTGGATCGTACAACTGTGTTTGTAAAGATGGTTACCAAGGCGACGGAAAAACCATTTGCACGCCAGAGGGTAAGTAGTTTGACAGCATAAAAGTTATAAATTGTGACAATGAAGAGCTTTAGTTTTGCTTAATGGTTTTTTTCTTTTCCATAACTATTTAGAATGTATAAGCTACTCACTTCTGACCAGTGGAACACGGAAAACCACCTACGACACACCCCAGGGAAGAGAATCTTGCGACAACGACCTCAGTGCGGACTGGTTTCGTTTCAAAGGAGATGCAGGAACGAAGATGCCAACCAAATGTGTACCTTACAAAAAATGTGGCACTGACTCTACGGGTTGGCTAGACGGTTATCATCCAACAGTAGCTGATGGAAAGGTCAGCAGGACGGTTTGCTTTCGGGGTCATACAGATTGTTGTAAACATCCAGTTTATATTAAAGTGAGAAACTGTGGATCTTTCTATGTTTACCAACTAACGCCACGAACATCCTGCAACCAACGCTATTGTGGCACTGACTGATAATTATGCTAGGATCAACCACAGACAGATCCAAAAAAACAGAGACTAAGTGAAGAGGGGGTAGGAAGGAATGAGGTGGTATCGTAATTTGATCTCAGTCATTGATAAAGACTCAATAACGTCAACTCAGAAGGATCTAATCAAAGATAAATAGATTGAAAAGAAAAATTCCTAAGAAAGATGGAAGAGCGGCCCCACTTTAAACTTGCCATTGTAGATCATCGTCTAAAGGGTAGAGTTAACTTTACTAAACAGCAATCCAGGTTGTTAGAGTCCAAAATGGCGGAGAGCACATGATTATACTTCTCAAATGACTGTCTTAATCCGTAGTGATATAATTATAGCACATAATCTAGCCAGGGGAAATTCCTTATCATCTTTCCTTTAAGTACTGAGTTATCAGGGGCGCTCTCCTCTCCCTTCCCGGACGCAACCGGTTAACAAACACCATCTATCCAAGAGCAAATGTGTAAGTTTTGCATTTCGACGTTCAACCATTGTGGCACAATTAAAGAAGGAGAAGGCTGGGTAAATAAGGCTCTCTTGTGTTTCAGTATTTTGAGAATTTGAACATCACTGGATAGACTTGTGCAAATTAGGCTTTGAAACAAATTTATCGGTTGTTCCCAGCCTGTTACATACGCTGTTGAGGAACCTTAAATTTCATCAAATCGTAATAAACTTATTAGTTTAAATTATGGGTCAACACGCATTCCTTGACCGAATATTCGCCACCTAGAGTTTGGGAATATCCCTGATAAAATTTTCTTGCTGATTATTTCCTAAAATTTCCAGGCGTAATTCCATTGCGATGAGAGTATTTATTTCAAATTCGAACTAGTGTCACAGTAAAAACTGTTATTATAAAGTCAGTACAAAAAACTAAATATACATTGTATGAACACAATAGAAAAAGTAAAACAATCATTAAATAATCATATCAAGAAGGAGAAAAGATATAAAAATAGAGCGTTGAAGTATTTGCACGTAACGTTACGTAAAAACTTTACCACGAACGGAGTCCATTTAAGTGTTAACTTCGGTCTCAATTTCCTATTGAGGAGAATTTCAAAAATAAGGCAGTCAATCTTTGATTATGTTGTTTAATGCGTTGCTGTAGATGTCGAGGTGTGTACACAATATAATTTGCGTCGATAGTTTATAGTTTTTTTACTTTTTTTTACTGTTTTTGGGTCAATCATATCTAAAACTTATTTTTTGGAGGATTTCAGCTCAATTACTAAATTTAAGGCAAACAATAAAGACGAGTTAATCAATGTTGTCAACAGAATCGTGCAGATAAGTTTCCCCCATGGTAATTCTTGTAAGTAGTAAATACTGAATATTTAGCTAAAGGTTTAGTTATTGAGACAATAGTGTAGTAGAATACGTTGGGCAAATGTTACCCAGAGCAACTGCTTTAATCTTAATGAATTGTAAGTTGTCCACATCTAAGGCACAATCTATATGTCTGCAGAATTTTTATTTGGCTCTTAATCATTATTACTTCTGAAGATATTTTGCCCCCATATCTTATTAAAACATTTCATTGCAAATATTATGTTTACTAATTATGGCCGGAACGAGGCCATGATTAATTAGGAAATATGTAAGATCATGCAGAATCAGTTTTCTAAAGATATTATCACAGACATGGAGCTTGTATTAGACCTAGTTCTCAAAACTCCGAATGTTAAACTACAAAAGAACTTCCCTTGTTTAATAATAAATGAGAATCAACTAACAATCATGAAAATGTTTCCTTAAATAGCACTTTAAATTTTCTATTTTGTAAAAAAAAAACAAATTCCAGATGGGGGAATATTTAAAACAAAGGACAGGAAAGTAACACGAAATGAAAAAATTAAAAACCCCCGAGATTCGAGGTGAAGAGCCTAACGTACGTGCGAGAAATCCGTGAGGGGTCTTGCATAACCATCACTGCATAATTAGATTTTGACAAATTGACGGAATGTTTTACAAACAAAAATTAAAGCATTCATGTCATTTTTTCGCCAATGCCCATGAAATTTCATATAAAAATAAAAATACTTGAAAATACTTGAGGAAAATGAGAAAAGGAAATAAATTAAAAAAAAGGAGAAAAATATGATCTGAAAACATTTTTTAAAGATAAACCATAATCTCTTCTTTGTAGCCTATTGTGAAAATATTGACTTATTTTTATTTCAGAGATCATTTACCGTGACAACATTTATTCACCCAAGGCAGGAAAGCTCTTCAAATCACATATCGATTAACTTCTCTTTTGTGAGAACGCTTGTCTATGAATAATTGAATTGGGTTTAAAATATGAATCAAATCAGATAATTTCCATTTCTTCTAGAAATGCACGGCATGTATTATCAAACCTCCTACTCTGAAAATGTGCGGTTTTAAATTGACTACATTCTTACAAAGTATGTAGATATGAAATGAAATAAATGTACCCACTTTTTCCTGACGATGATTACAAACTCAGTCTCAAATAGAAAAAAACAATTTCAGTGCTGAATTATTGATGAGTAGCATAAATGGTTGTCATGTTCCCAGTTGAAATGATTCAGACTTTGGCTTTTTTTCGACAACAATTACGCACAGGCCTAAAGGGAAAGGTTTACACTCTTTGTTGGTAATTATTTTTGACCACCGTCGCGCACCCAACAAATTCTTAAACTACAATTTTACATATTTTTACGAATACCATTGCCTTTAAAAAGGAATACAGTCCACGTTTTTTAAAGAGACACTTCTGTGGAATTTATAAGTATTTTTCACTGAGTTTTGTAAGCTCCTCTGTAATCAGTAGATTCTGCAGGAGTGTTATGGAACAAATTTTATCTCGGAAACTAAAAAATACTACATGAGAGAAGTTTAAAGGAACATGTTGACAACAGGGAAAAGGAAAGAATAAACTTAAGATGGCTGATCAGGAAAAACAGGACGCTTTGATAAAGCTTAAAGTAATGTTTATCACTGACTTTTGTACTCAGAATCGCATAACAATGGAGATAAAGCTTTCTATTTCTAAAGGATTGCTTTGTTAGGTGTAACACTTAGAAACCGTGGAGACTTTGGGGAATAAGCCTTTGTTTTGTAATAGGCAGCTGGAATCTCTCACGCAGAAACATGCTCATAAACGCAATGTAACCAACATCGCTGCCATCAATAACGAGGAAGTGGTGATGAAAAGACCACAAAGGATCATTTTAAAACTTTATTTGCAAACATTTTTTTTTTTAATAATTATAATATTTGGGTACAAAGAAAAAAAAAACAAAGACAAAAATTATCCACCAAAGGAGAAAAAACGAAACAGGTCAAAAATGAATAAATGATCAACATTCAAATATATCAGAAATAGGGACTGATCATACTCATGTGAAGCGTATTGCGAAAATAACCACCTCTGTCTCTTGGAGAGATCCCGCATAGTGATCTCTTCTATTCAGTTCCTTGTATAGGAAATCTTAGCATGGTTACTTACCGATTCGTTAATCTTTTACTATGACGATTGGTTGCGATAAACTTTATTAAAAATAAAATATCAACGAACTTCGATAACTTCCAAGGCTATATAACTTTCTAAAACTTTACATGACTTATTCTAATACTTCGTTTCTTGAAAATTTTCTGCTTAAAATTATATACACCAATATGGTAATGAATCAAAATCAATTAAAATTCCAGCTTTAACAGCTTTTTGGTGTTTAATTAACTTAATAAACCGTAACTCTCAAAAACCAAAGAGAGCAAACTTTCGACATCAATTATTTATGACTGTGCAGGATAACTTCGATGTAGTGCATCAGTTGAAATGATTGATGACTGGACACTGCCAGCACAAGGTTTCTTATTCAGTGAAGTCTCGAATATCTGTTTCCAATCAAGATATTTAAAGCAGGGGTCGTTTGAATAACCCTTATCGTTTACACGAGCGTACTATTTTACAAGACATTCCAAAAAATGATTCTAATTCCATTGCTCCATGTCATTTGCACTGCGGTCGATTTGGCTTCTGCTAAGCCAGAAGGTGAGGCACTCTCATCGTTTTTCGTTATCAGTAATTTTGAAGGTCTAGACATGATGTGATTGTGCAGAAATTACACCTGGTTCCGTGAAAAATTAAACCTTACAACTGACACACTGTTACTTGCGGTACCACATGAATGACGTAAATAGCCCTAAGCATTCCGTCGTGTTTCCTAATACTTGAATAGTAACGATTTGTAATACTGACTCGAGAGAAGTATGTCATCGTTGTCGCTTTGACACTGGCTACTTCAAGCCAATACTATTTTACCTCATGACTTTTCATGGTCTTTGCAGAAACATGTCGCATCATTCAGTTCGTGCGTAAAGTAAACGAAAAGGCTCTTGAAGGTCATACGATTACAACGATTAGTTCGAACAAAGTCGACTTTTGTGAGACGCGGTGTTTCCTTAACCATGATTGCGTCTCTTACAACTTTGGACCAAGTGAAGACAACGATGACACATATGTATGTGAACTAAATAACTCAACGGATAACAGAAGATTGAAACCTAAAGCGATGTACGTATACAGCGAAACAAAGGTAGGTTGTTATTCCCATTCTGTTTTGCTCTAAGATTTCTGTTAATTCATTTTTATTCCTTCATTTTCATATTCTTTAATTCGTAATCAGTTAGACCATTCTCAACCTATTTCATTATTAGAGTGATCTGTCTTAGGTTCATCATCTTGTTTTCTTATTTTACCGATCTAGGACTCCTGCCGGTCAAATCCTTGTTTAAACAATGGCAAATGTCAATATGGTTTTACAGCCAAAACTTTCCGCTGTCTGTGTTCCGTTGGCTTTACTGGAGAATTTTGCGAAAGGGGCAAGTTTCGATCAAGAAGGAGGGAGGGGGTGAACGCATTAAATTTGGTTTTTGTTGACGTCAGCTCATCATTGCCAGCGTCACGTCACATAGCAACATAGAACGCTTCTCGCTAGGAATTTTTAGTTACCTTTGGGGACCCCATAGGTAGAAAAGTAGGAAAAAAAAAACAAGCCAATGATATATATGTTTGCGTTATTATTTTACTACGTTGCCGTATGAGTCCATTTTCACATTAGCTAATACCTTGATGGCTCAGAATCTAAACAGGTTTTCGTCTCTTTTAAGATTCCTCTCTAAGACATTTTGTGTTCCCAGATGTCGATGAATGCAAAGATGCAGCCATGTCCACTTTAGCTAATGGCTTTGCGGCGCGGAATCTAAAGAGTTTTTTTTGCGATTAAGATGCACTTATAAATAAATATCAATGATAAAGCTGTTTGAGAGATGTTAATGCAAACTGTGCCAACACTAATGGTTCTCATAAATACACTTGTAAGGAAGGATACACTGGGGATGGACAGTCATGTCAAGGTACAACAGATAATTCTAAGCAAGTTTTGGCATTAGGTACGATCTTAGTAACTCAGAATCTAAACAGGTTTTCCTCTATATTGAGGTTTTTCTCGTAAATAATTTGTGTCAACAGATGTCGATGAATGTAACGATAAAAGCCATACTTGTGATGCTAATGCGAATTGTTCCAACGCTAATGGTTCGTATCATTGCTCATGTAAGGAAGGATACACCGGAGATGGACACTCATGTCAAGGTGATTAAGAGTGGCCTACACTATTTAAAACATGCAGCTTTGCACATAAACTATCGCCCATGGAAATTAGCCCGCATTTTAGAGGTCTGTTTTCACGCACCACTCTCATATTTCCATTGGGTTACCTCTTTTACATCACTTATGCTTCTAGATATCGACGAATGCAGCAATGGAAGCCATGATTGTGACGTAAATTCGATTTGTACGAACGCTAATGGCTCCTATAGCTGCACCTGTAGGGAAGGATACACTGGAAAAGGAGAGTCATGTCAAGGTAACATTAGATTAGACTCAGAAAAAAACAGAATAACTGTTCATTAAAAATAATGGTCTCGTTATCTCACAAAATGGCTAGGATTTTTTTCTCTCTTCATTTGCCCTTTGCAAATCTATTGTGTTCACAGATATTGATGAATGCAACGATGATGTTTGTGATACTAATGCTGACTGTACCAACACTAATGGTTCTCATAATTGCATCTGCAAGGAAGGATACATTATAACTGGACAGTCTTGTCAACGTAGATCAGAACAGCGATACTTGATGTTGAGCAAAGCAGATTTCCATAATAAGTATCGTCTTCGCAACTGTGGTCATGATCAAGAGGCAACGTGATGATTTTCACGCCCCGACCTCGTATTTCTATCAAGTTACGGGTTTCATCATATGCATACATGCACATTTTTCGATGGTTTGAAATATAATACGCGCGGATATTTTAAGAGTTGCCAGGTATTTTTTAAGAGTCCGGAGGGAAGAATATAAGGCCACGCTCGGATAACCACCCACCCCCCCCCTTCTCCTCCCTCACTTTTTTAAATAGTATAGATACAAGGAAAATCTTGAAAAATGTTTTTGCTGTCACTTTTTTTGATAACTTTTCAACCTTCAACAACAGCGCAATCAGTACAGCAAAATAATTTTGTTTTCCATTCCAGATTTTTATTTCTTTATTTGCTTGCAGAGTTCCTTTATGTATTATATATTCTTTTGACTTTTGTTCTATTGCTGAGGTAACTTAAGAAGCGCCCCTCTCGACTAATCGACAAAGCGCCCACCCTACAAATAAGTGCACCCTCCTCCTCTCCCTCCCAGTTTTAGCCGAAATTTTCAATAAGCGCCAAAGTGCACATTGAAAATTTCTATCATTTCAATTATTGAAGTACTCACAATATCGCCTCAGGAACTAAACGTATATCTCGCGGAGTTTATTCGCTCTTTTCAACTTAAAGACAGAGAAGATTATGAACCCTCATGCTTAACATGCCTCACTATCGAGAAGGGAAATTTGTATGGTTTTTATCTTTCATCTTCGATTTATAAACCATCGTCTGTTTGACAATTAATTGTTATAAAAGAAGCATTTACTCTCCTTATGTGCATGTAAACTATATAATAAACCTAATACATCACGTAAAGTCTGTCCATACGGTATGTGAAGAATCGTTGCTTTATATCAAAAATCTTATTCGTTTGCTGTGTTCACTCTCTCTGTTGTGGTTCTTTTTTTATGAACAGAAGGCGTAGATTGTAAGACACACACACGTTTATTCAAAAGCAAGAAGAGCACTAAAACTAAGTCACAGGTGAATAATAATCAATGGCTATATTTTACATGCGGCGGCCTAGGTACTAATATAATGATTACTGGCCGGAAACGGAGGCTAGCCAAATTATGACACCCTCGATTTCTGATACTACGAAATCGTGGGTAAATACCATACGGACAGACTTTCTATGAAGTATTCCATATCTATATCATTTGTACTACTAGATATCGATGAGTGCCTCATTGCAAGCCATGCTTGTGACGTGACTGCAAATTGTACCAACACTGACGGCTCCTACAACTGCACCTGTAAGGAAGGATACGCCGGGGACGGAGAGTCATGTCGAGGTATGATCACTGCATTAGACTTAGCAAATAAAAAAGAGTGTAGCGATGGCAACCATGATTGCCATGTTAATTCCAACTGTAAGAACACAGATGGTTCTCATATTTGTACTTGCAAAGAAGGATACACAGGAGATGGACAGTCATGTCAAGGTGAATAAGAGTAGCCTACACTATTTAAAACAAGTAGCTTTGCACATAAGCTTTCGCCAACGGAGATTAGTCCTCATTTTTGAGGCCTATTTTCACTCACCACTCTCGTACACTCTATTGCATTACCTTTAATACATCACTTATGCTTCTAGATATCGACGAATGCAGCAAAGGAAGCCATGATTGTGACGTTAATGCGAATTGCACCAACACTGACGGCTCCCATAGCTGCACCTGTAAGGAAGGATACACTGGAAAAGGAGAGTCGTGCCAAGGTAAAATTAGATTAGACTTACAAAAAAGGGAAATAACTGTTCACCACAAATAATTGCCTCGTTATCCAACAAACTGGTTAAGATTTTTTTCTCTCAATTCAGTTACCCTTTGCAAATCTATTGTGTTCACAAATATTGATGATTGTAACAATGATGTTTGTGATGCTAATGCTAACTGCACCAACACTAATGGTTCTCATAATTGCATCTGTAAGGAAGGATACATTGAAGATGGACAGTCTTGCCAATGTAGATTAGAACAGCGGTACTTCATGCCGAGCAAAGCAGCTTTCCATATTAAGTATTTTCTTCGTAACTGAGGTCATTATCAAGAGCCGGAAACGAAATGATTTTTAGGCCCCGACCACGTATTTCTATAAAGTTACGGGATTCATCATCAGTATACATACACATTTTTCGAAAATACGCGTAGATACTTTACGAGTTGCTTATTATTTTTTCGAGTCCGGAAGGAACGACGATAAATTAGAGCAATGAACAAGATGTCTTCTCGTATTGTATAATAAACAATCGAATGAGGGATTCATCATTCCAACATTACCTGGAATATTTTTCTCGAATATGACGCCACGCTCGGACTCTCGGATAGCCAACCCCCCCCCAACCTCTCCTCCCTTATTTTTTTAATAGTATAGAGACAAGGAAAATATGTTTCTACTGCCACGCATTTTAAAAACGTTTCAAACCTCAACAACAGCGCGATCAGTACAGCAGAGTAATTTTATTTTCCACACCAGATTTTTTCTACTTTCATGTGCTTGCAGAGTTCCTTTATGTATTATCCATTCTTTTGACTTTTGCCCCATTGCTGAAGTAACTTAAGAAACGCCCCTCTCGACTAATCTCGGCTAATGTAATTTAACTTTGTAGGCAATCCGTGTTAAAATTACAAAAACCTGCGATACGTATTGAGATAGGGAAAAAAACAAAGAGAATTTACTTTCATTCCTACAAACCTGTTTCGAGACCACTCATTCATCAGAGGGTGTTATATATCTATATAATAAGCTCAGTTATGCACGCATTCTGATTGGTTCTCACTTATGATCTATTGGAGGACAGACGTATAGATGACGTCATCATTAAAACTTTTTTACGTCATCATTAAAACTTTTTCAGTGTGTCACATCAGTGACACACTCAGCTGCGCCTCGTGTGCCACTTTTTTGTTCTTACCACATTTTGACGTCATCTGTGATCTATTACTGAACAGACGCACGGCAACTTGGAATCTATTTGTTAAATATATATATAATACATATATAAATTGAGTTAGGGGAAAAACAAAGAGACAAAGAGCCTGTTTTGTGATTACATCTCTCTTATGTCGTGATTAAAACAAAAATAAAATTTCCCTTTCACAATTATTATTCAAATTTTTAGCCGATCCATGTTATAATTACCACAACCTAAGTGATGCCACAAGGAAAAGCAGTTACATTACACCGCTCTCTGGTCCAGTGTTTTGTGACTACCCACTCACCGAGAGATGGTACCGTTTTGTGGGAGCTGCCTGAACTAAAATGCCAACAACACGTGTACCAGCATACAAATGTGGTACAGACTGGTCAGGCTGCTTGGATGGTGCTCATCCTATAGTGGAAGATGGTGACGTTTTCAGGAGGGTCTGCTTTAGCAATCGTCCTACAGGTTGCAAATACTCCATCGAAATTTCAGTTAGAAATTGTGGATCATTTTATATCTACAAACTTGCTCAGCCCCCTGGTTGTTCTTCGCGTTACTGCAGCACGGACTAAATCTGAGTCTAATAACTTCAAAAAACGAGACAAGTCATAAAAAGATCCTTGTGAACAATGTACTTTACGACTTACAGTCCCCTCCCTATCGTAATCGTTAATACCATCGTTATAACCTGGTGCATACTGGCAAATCTTTACGTCGGTGGCGAACTATTAACTGTTATAAATATCAAGAGTTCTAATGATGGTGGGCATCAAATATCATTTACATCATTAAAGAAGACTTCTTGCCTGAAAAAATGATAAGCGAAAACTGTCAAATCCACCTAACTACAACTTTGTACATTATTTAATAGCGTTTAACATTTTTGACAAGTTTCTCTATTATTTCATTAAGAGCTTTATCACCATTGGATGAATTATCCTTTTGCAGCAATAGGATAAACAAAGAACACTTGCCCGAAAAAAAATCAAGCATAAAAAAAATAACAGTTAGTTTGTAGACAAATTGGATCTTTCGATATCTACAAACTCGCTAAGTCATACCCATGTCATTTGAGTTTCTGTCTCGAAATAAACTGACTAAATAATTCGCCTTAGTGTTATAACATTAGTTACGTGGACCTCTTGCTAACAAATTAAGTATTAAAAAAAAAAGATAGAGACAGACATGCATGTAGAATATTCATTTGGAATGCCTCAGTCCTGTAGCTTTAGAGATAAAAGCTGAACAAGGAAATCCAGAATGCCTTTGGTTATCGCCAAGTACTTATATTTTCTTGAAAAAAATATTGATTGAAGTCTGTGACTCTGTGTTACCTCGAAAAAATTGAGATTTAAGGACACATGATAAAAAGCTGAGTAGTATATTCCATTTATCATTCACAGCACCATCTGTATTTGTGGGGTTCAAAAATGTTTTGGCTTTGTAACAAAATATTCCGTGATAAAAGCCACGTGTTAAAGGTGGCCTGCCATCCGTAGTAATTTGCTATGTAATCACGATTATACTGTGACAGCTATGAATTTGAAGCAAAAGTTTAAGTTAAAACCATTGAAAATAACTTCGGTTTGCTCAAATCTGGTGCTCAGATCCTTTTAAACCCATGGTCATCAGCAGATTACGACGTAATTTCGGTCCCAGACTCCCGTTCCCCGTTCTTCTTTCCTCGTTCTCCGTTCCTCGTTCTCCGTTCCTCGTTCTCCGTTCCTCGTTCTTTATTCAGAATTCTCCGTTTCTTGTTCTCCGTTCCCCGTTCCTCGTTCTCCGTTCTCCGTTCCTCGTTCACCGTTTCCCGTTCTCCGTTCCTCATTCTCCGTTCCTCGTTCTGTTCAGAATTCTCCGTTTCTTGTTCTCCGTTCCTCGTTCTCCGTTCTCCGTTCTCCGTTCTCCGTTCTCCGTTCTCCGTTCTCCGTTCTCCGTTCTCCGTTCTCCGTTCTCCGTTCTCCGTTCTCCGTTCTCCGTTCTCCGTTCTCCGTTCTCCGTTCTCCGTTCTCCGCTCTAAGTTTACCGTTCCCTGTTCCTCGTTCCTCGATCATCGTTGCCCGTTCTTCGTTCCTCGTTGGAGTAACATCCTACTACTGCTATGGCACAATAGTGGTCGGTTCAAACAGCGATTTCTTAAACATCATAGTACCATGGGCGCTTTTTTAATGCTCAGATTTAACTTGGATCGAAAAAAATTCTAGACTGGTTTACACCCGGTGGAGTTTACTAACGGGCTGGTGCGAATCCTGTCAGCTATTTGGGTGCAACAGAAGGAAAAAAAGATCAAATTTCGTAGCCTAGAGCCTCTTCCGAATCATGAACCTTATGAAAAATTTCAAGAGAGTCAGCCAGTCAGCCGTGTGTTCTTGAATTGGTTGATCATGGAAAAAGGAATTCTTTTTTCGTAAGTTCTGTTTTTTTTTCTTTCGTTATGTAAAATTTTAGTCGATTTTTAGCTTACCAGTCGATTTGTACCGGCTCGGAACTTTCGCACTCAAGATAATTTATTATTATCTACTGAGTTGGTAACGTAAATTGGTTTGAATGAAAAGTTTAAAAGCGTTTCGAGCGTTAGCCCTTCGTTCAATCGCTCTGACGAAGGGCTAACTCTCGAAACGTCAGCTTTTAAATTCTTTGAGGTGGCCAATTTACGATATCAACTTAGTTGATAATACTTGATTACCCTATTATACTCCCAATC